CTCATGCTGTTTTATATTTGTATAGCATACCAGCTCTTGTGTAAAATTCTTCAATATATTCTATTATCCTCTGTTTATATCTTAATGTTTTGGGAAGTAACTTCTGTTTTCCCTCAGTGTTCAAAGCATTGACATATTTTGGAAGTAGCTTGATTAAAGAAAAATAGGTATGTAGATCTATGCCATCAAAGTTGGGTCTCCCAATACTCTTGTGTTGCACAGTAGATGGAGAACGAGTTCGCCAAAAGCCAAGTCTCCCCCCTAAACCCAACATTCCGAAGAAGCCCACAGCGGGCCCAGGGGTACCAGTGGGCCCCCCCCAGAGGGTCCAGGCCACTATGAAAATGCTACCGTCGAGAGGTAACCCTGCCGGATGTGTGCAGGGAGCCCATGCGCCTCCATGTCTAACATTCACTGCCTTCTGTGCTGCTGTGTGATCATTTTACAGAGAATGTTTACTCATTGTTTATACACTGATTTTTTTTACACACATACACATGCATGTGTGTGTGTCTATTAAAAAAGTTACATGTGTATTTTTAGAAGTAACATTGTGATCTTTCTTTTTCTTTTTTTTGCTAGGCAGTTAGTGTTAGAAATGGTTATGATAAGGTTAACTTTTTTTGAAGCGTGAAGTGTGATATTAATCCTTATAATTTTGACTGTTAAGGATCAGCGTTCACTGTCAACTATGGCAAATTATGCTGTATGAGGATATTCTTGATAAAGTATCATGTTTGTTACTCTTTGTAGAAGCATGAATAGTGTAAAAGGGAGAAGATGGAATTAAGAGTTCAAATATTTATTTATGATCATGGTTGACAGTAAGTACTTTATTTTAGTTAAAGGATTGCCCAGCCTGCTCCCTCTCCCAATCCCAGAGTATACTTTGTTGGCCATTGTTTGCATTGTGTGTTTGAAGGACTGGCCAGTATTGTGGTCCTATCCCTCCCCAGATGGCTCCCCCATAGCAGATCCGCAGCTCCCTCCAGTCGCAGGGGGTGACGTCTGGGGCCAGGGGGAGGTGACACCCCCTCCCTCTGGTCCTGCCACCTTGTCCCGCTCCCCCACTGTCCAGGCGGGTGAGGGTCAGCTGACCCCCCGCACCAACTCCCTCACCCGTGGGATTCAGAAGATGCTGAAGGCAGCATCACGGTCCAGTAAGACCATGTGGAAATGTTCCTCTGGCTGCGCTCGCACTGGAGGGAGACTCAAGCATATGGCTGGGGAGTACTTGATCATGATTGAGGAGGTGGTGTTGCATCTCTCTCACTCAGGCTATAGTGCTATCAGAAATGTCCCCCAATTGTGTGCTCTGAATCTCTCTACAGTAACATTAATGACTTACCAGGCAGGGTGCTTCAAACTTGGTTGAGGGAAACTCCGCTTTAAACAAAATAATTGTAGATTATATTACATTAGTAATGGTTAAAGCCTTTTTATTTCATAGATCATCTTATGCAGGCTTTAATCTTCATAATTAGGGTTGCTTATTATTTTCCATAAATAAGATGTTTAAATAACTAAACATAATTAGCATTAGCATCATTAGTAGTATTGGTTCTCTTTTTAAAATCCTGTTTCTCACATTGTCATACAGAAAGCATTGGAACTAGCATATGGCTTTACAATCATGGCCAATTTAGGTGTTAGCTGACTTAGCATCAGCTGATAAGAAGCTGTTAATTGGTATTCAAAGCCAAATTATTCTTCGTCCACATGAAATTGACTTTAAAAAGTGAATGTAGTTTGGTTATAGTGGTTTCCAAAACCCTAAGTTCCACAGTCTTCCTAAACACATTTCAACTTCTGTTACTCTTTCTACCATTTGGGGCATTCTGCTGCATAATAATGATGAGTGGTATTGCAGGATCATGGCTGTGGTTCGCCTTTATGACTCTTGTTTTATGTATTTTGTGGTAACTAATTGAATTTCCAGGTAGAGCAAATTATTAACAAACTTGGAATTGCTCTCTAGTCTGTCCATATTGCTATCTAAAAACCTCACAGGAAATATGATGTAAAAACTATCTTGACTTGTATACATTAAGTTTTAATAATATTTACATAAAAGATGTCTCGAAAAGGATGCTCAGTTTTTATGTAAGGTTAATGTTAAAAGGGAAAGCCGTCCTTCACCTCACCAGGTTGTGATGAAAATGGTAAGATGTTGTGGTTTGTTTGTCTGTTTTGCAGGAGTCATAGAAAACATGTAGGTGATGGTATTTATTTTACTATGGGTTGTGCATGACCTGAGTATGTACCTTTGATTATGAGTGCATGGTAAAAGCTTCAGGATATGTGGTAGTGTTGGTTTTATATTATGAATATGTTTGTCATTAAGTTTGTTAGCATGCAGATTATATTTCTGTTCCATTTTGAATAGCATGAAATATCTGTTTTGGATAATTAACCTTTGGTTATGGATGTTTTTGTAGGGTAGGTTCCTAACTTATTTTATTTATACACCTTTGACAAGCAGAGGAAGATGGCATGAGGGCACGGGAACCGAGCCCCACTCTGGAGCGTTCCAAGTCTGCATTCTATAAGAGTGAAGGTATATACCACATACCAACATTCATTTCATATTGAATAACGTAGAGTAGTTATGGCAGTTATCTGCTTGATCAGTAATCATATTTTGTATGAAATTGTTGCTGTTACACTAGACAAAAAACACATAGTCCCACCTTATGACCTCATGAGATATTAGTATTTTAGAGAACAAATATCATTCTAGTTTTAGTCCCTGATCTTTTTGCTATGATTGCTCCCTCCCCTTTATCCTGTTGTAGTTTGCCTTTAGTCATGATACTAACAAAGTAGTTTTTTTGCCTTCAGTTTTATTCAGTTTTATGACTTTGTATCTTCTTTATTTTAGTCAGTTATTCATGTGATCAATGTGTCCCTGCAATCATGGCTAACTAGTGAATTTAGTTAGATTTTTTTTTTCTTTCTTTTGTTCTTTTTGCTTCCATGTTTGCAATTTCATAGTGGTCAGTATACACATTTGTTTTCTATTTGCAACCTGCATGGCATTTTAACTAACCAAAGATGCATGTTTGTTGTTTTATTGCCGTCTGGTTGACCAGTGGCGAATGAGAAGCGCTCAGCACTCCAGCGCCGTTCTTGGTCTCTGTCTCGTAAAGGTAAGAACAACTTTGAAGGCCCACTTTCATTTTACTGTTATTATTTTGAAAGTAACTCATGTAAATTTGTCATGATTATTTGTGAACTTTTTCTCATTCTTTTTTTTTTTTTTTTTTGCAAGATTGAGATAACATTATAGTCCTGTAATCCATGAACAAGACAAGAAAGACTGATGTTAGAATTTGTTATGCCAGAGATTAAGAAAAAAAAGAAATGTGAGCGAGTTATGGTGATGTTTGATATAAAAGAATTTGCGAGATGGAGAGTTACTGTTAATATTTTTGAAGCATTGTCTTTTTAATGTTTTAACTTTTTGTTTATATCTTATGAATGTTTTCAAAATGTTTAAAAGAAGTAATATAAGACAATACATTTTTACCTGACAAATTTTTATTTACTGTACATGGGTGAAAACATTTTAGAAATGAAAAGTTTTTGATCCAGCATTTCTTCCTCCCCGGCAAGTCTCACAGTTCCTTGGAGGGGGTACGTTCTCCAGAACCTTACATACCATATATATATATATACATGTATAAAGCAGATAATATATATGTATATCTATATGTATCAGCCTTTGGTTTTCCTTTTCCTAGATTGCCTAGATAACATGTATGATATGTTTAGAGGCTGTCATTAGATGGAGATTTTAGTTGTCAGAGCCATGTATTGCTTATACAATATTGTTGCAAAGCAGTTTTTCACATCTACAGTACAATGCTAGTACTGGCAGCTGTATGGCTTAAGATTATAAAGGAAAAATATATCTATAGAAGCATTTTTCATTGTGAGTGATTTATTAATAATTCATTGTATTGCCATACATTTGATAGGACATTAAAGTTTTTTAGTATCTGTTGATGATTTAAGCACATAAGTGATATTAAATTGCTAATGATAAACTTCACATGATATTCATATAAATTATTTAACATGTTTTAAGAATTATTAGTATAGCATCAAGACTGAAGAAAAAAAATTGCCATGTAGATTTTTTAAAAACTAATGATTATTATTATAGAGAATAGAGTTTCAAGAAGCAGTTACAGTAGAGGTAAGTAGGAGAATATACTCCAGTGAGTGATGTAAAAAAATAGAAAAGAAAAAAGGAAGATAACTTTAATGTTAAGGAAAAAGATTAAAAATATGATAATTACAAACATCTTGTATGCATGATGTTCAATCATTCATGTCCTGTGAGGCGGTGATTGGACCTTTGCAGACCTGGTGAAATGTGTTCAGGTTTACAAATATTTGCAGCCCTTCTACAGGTCATTTTAGTTCTGTTTCTTCAGTCTACCTTTCTCAACATATATTTCTTTTTTCTGATTTATTTATAAAGTGGGTAGCAATTCAATATAAAAATGAAAAACAAATTTCTCCCATTTTGCTTTGCCGTCTTTCTTGCTTCGTTTCTCCTGCTCTCTGTGAGGTTTAGTTATTTTAGCTTTTATTATCATATAGCATTACTTTAGAGAAATGCCTTTTTTAATTAATTTAATTTCTACTACTGCACCTTGGCTCACCCTAACAGCTGTAAAATACCTGTTTACAGTGTGATGTAGATTAGTCTTACTGTTTACTATATTTATATTGAAAATGAAATTTTGCTCAAGATTGATGATTGCATAATCCAGTTAATCACTAATGTTTTCAGATTTCAACTTTTTGCTGTAAATGTGTGAGAAAATGTTGACCTGGTTGGAGGGAGTTCATATAATGTGTTATGGTACCTTTGGAATGCTGGGAGTGATGATTTTGGTAGATGAGGTGTGGTACCATTACACATTTTTTTGTTTTATTTTTCTCTTCAAATTTTATGATTCTCAATTTTTGATTTCATTAGTTTATTGAATCCTCCACCTCTGGTTACATGAAAGACTCATTGGCATAAAAATAATGAAAATACACTTTCTCTTCCAGGGGAGACAGTAGCCAATGGTGATGATACAGAGGCACACCACAGCACTCTCTCGCAAAGCAGTAAAGAGGTATGTTTTACAGAAGCTTTGGCTATTGGATGTTTACATTTTGTTGAAGTACATAAATTGGGTTGTATTGGAAAAGAAAACTATTGAAATATAGTGTCTGAGAGGCTTTAGACTCAGTAAAATTTCCACCAACAATTTATCTGGAGGTCTACTAATATGGTACCAATTGTTCCACAGGGCTCTCCAACCAAGGACACCTCCCTAACAGATGACTCAATCTCCAAGGACAAGAAGAAGAAGAAGAAGGGCCTGCGTACCCCAAGCTTCCTGAAGAAGAAGAAGGACAAGAAGAAGGAGAAGGAGGCTGCCCACCACTAGTGCCCCAAGTCCCCATTTCCTTCATAGACTCCCGTCTCTGGTAGACCAATGCTGGTAAGCAGCACTTTGTCTCATTGCTTCTGTTGATTATATTGATGAGCTAGAAGCCAAAGTATTTTGAGTTGAGGAGGATAAACTTAACAGTGTATGATAACTTTTGAGAGATAATGCATATGTAAATTTAATATTAAAAAAAAATTTAAGTGCATTCATTTGTTGCAATTAGACTGATAACTTATTTTTAGGCCATTATTTTTTCAGACACTGCCAGAATCTGTAGATAGCAAAGAGGAATATATTGTGGGAGCCCCTTCATGGTGCTGGCGAGAGGCGTGCTGCTGACATTGTTCATCGGATCCAAGACTTGTCAACCTAAATTCCCTGTCAGCCTATTTCTATGTTCTCCCTTTCTTTTCATTCAGTTTTACAGATAAGGCAGTGTTAGTGATGAAAGCTATACTTTATTGTGTAATTTTTAGTGGTACTATTTGTAGTATGTAGATTTTCACCAAAACAGTTTTAGGTTTCAAGATGAAGCTAAAAAAATTAATAGCTTTGTGATGATGAAAATTTGAATATTTTATTGATATCTGTTAGGCTCTCTATATGATTTGGATCCTTTTGTTAATCCCAGGTTATTGTAGCTGGTCAACTTCAGCTTTCATTAGAGTGCCTCAAGTCAAGTTTTAGATGCTGATGAACACCTTCATGTCAATGCTTGATGCGAGTGATAGTGTGTATGGATGTGTGAAACTTGCTATCATGCAGAAGTTAAAATGCAGACAAACAGTACACCAGTGATGTATGTAATGTCTTGGTTGTTTCATAACGATACCCACCTGCTCTAAAAGGCACAAGTCCCCAGGTCAGCTTGTGCCAACTCATACAGAATTTAGTAATGTACAATCATAAGTGATTTTACAGTCTTGGCACACCCTGACTTGCAGACTAAGAAGGGTTATTTAACTATGATTCATTTTATTTCTTCATGTGGATGAATGAGTGCAACACCAGCCCATTCTCCTTTTACTATCGTCCTTCCACGGATAGTTGTCGGATCAGCGGTCTCTCATCTCACCCCACCAAGTCTCACCATTTGCACCAAATGGTTCACAAGATGAAAGAGAGACTAGTAGATGGCTCTTTTGATCTTCCCAACCCTAATTTTGTTCCATTTTAGACCTCACATAAGGAGGTTACATGGAAGTGAAAAACCTTCTGCTTTTTTTTTTTTTTTTTACGAGTCTGACCTCAACTATTAGGAATGGAAGGACCACAGTATCTGCTGGGATGCTTGTCAGTTTCTGTCCCTCATCAGTATCAGAAGACTTGCTCTCCTGGTCTGTGGCATCTTCATTCTTCCTGTTAAACCTTGAACTTGTGTCCAGAAAAGAAATTATTTGTTGATACCGATAGCTGTGACTGGTCAATTGCTTGGGTCACCATTTGCGTCATCCAGCTGATTTGCCTGTGTCATGTCTTTATTTTATGTAATACGCCTTGAGCACCTATGCTCAGAAGACATTCAATGGCTGTAAAATTGTAGGGAAGCGACTTTGTCACTGACATGAAATTTGACATTCAGCTGGAGATGCTGGTGGTTGTTGTAGGACCACTTTTATCTTCTCCTGCTGCTAGAAGGTGGATTGTTTTATTAGCTACACATTCATTTTTTAATCACAGCTTAGCACTGTTTTATATACATCTGTATTATAGCAACTGAATAAATCATTATTATAATTATTATTATATGAATATGCAGGCAGCTGATTTTAGCTTGTTTTGGAAAGAAAATAAAATGTCCCAACTCCACAAAGTCTTATGTCTTCATTCTTTCATTCCATAACCTTGTGTTTGTATGTATTTATTTCTATTTAGGAATAGTTTGTTATTTTGGGAGGCTCTTTACTAATAATCATGTTTTTAATGAGGTTGTAAATTGTACACCAGCCATGATAGCCATTAAAAGAAGTGAAACTACCGATTGTTCTTTCCGGAAACTAGTGCTGCTGTATTGAATAAAAAATTCAGGATCTCCATAATACAAAGACATTTTTTCATCACCCTTTTATATAAAATCTGAGTTGTCAAGTGAGTTCTTTGTGTATCAACTCAAGTATATTCGTTTTTGTTTTACTCTTCACAGTGTATAAGTGTATAAGCAATTCAAAATTCTCAACCCTTTTTCCAATGTTATGATTGTTAGATTTGATGTTCTTATGTCTTAAATGTTTACAATTTCACACAAGATCAATATTGATATTGCAACTGCGGTGTTTTGTTAAAAGCACCAGAATGAAATAAGAAATTAACTTAAAAATTCATTGACATTTTGCTAGATCTTTCACACAATATATGGTGTGACCATTGTGTTAATTGAGAAAATGTTTGTAAGACCCAACACCTCAATATGACATTTTCAACTGTATACATCTAATGTAGCAGTACCTTATATGGAAGCATACTGAAGTTGAACAGTAACTACTACTACTCAGTTTCATTTCAAGTGATGAACTAACAAAGAAAGAAGACTAGAGTTGTCAAGTGATATTTCAATAATAGTCTCACAATAATGATTCAAGGCCTGAGGAAGGAATGGGGCTTAAAATATATCTTTTCTATGATCATATACATTGTCTTGACATGTAAGTGGTACCCTGATCCAGATTATGGAGGAATAAATCAAATAAAGTTTAATGATGAATATGAATGATTTGGGAGCTGTGACACTAGCACCATAATTAGCATTTCATTATTGTTCGTTGGAGAAAAGGTTAAATATGATGCTTTTGGAATTTCTTGATTCTATTACTGTACAAGTAAATATGGCAACTATAAAGAAAAAAACTCTTTGTTGCGGTGTTTATTAATAAATACAAGCAGCATTTTACAAAGCATCTGTGACAGTTTTACACAAGATGGTACAAAAACAAACGTCAAAAGGTAAATTTTCTCCATAATTTGACTTCACAGGATATAACAAAGGGCTCATAGTCATTTTCTTTGACATTGCAATTCAAATCCAAGTAGTTGGACATCATACTGAGCGCAGCATATGTATTCATACCAATAGTATTTTAAGAATATGGCAGAAAACAAAGTGGCTGATATAACTTGGTTAATAAGGTAAAAAAAAAAAAAAAAAATTAGTTTGTGACATAATTCCAAATATATACATATACATATGTATGTGTATGTATATATTATCATATACATATACAATGCATGCAACTTACATACATATACACACACTTAAATATGAAATGAAGAGCACATTTGATGAGACCCAAAATGCACCATGAATTATTTAGTAATAAATAATGCTATTAATGGCTTACATAAAGCCAGTTTTCAGTTTGAAAAGGAAAATGTTAAAAATTTTAGTGTATGTGTAGGCTGTAAATATCAAAACAAGGTGAGACATTCAAGGGACTAAAGAGCCTAATTTTTTGTATCTCCCAACATATTTTCCTGGTTTTATATATATATATTTTTAAACTGCTTTGTTGATTTCATTTCTGCCTCCATGTAATACTGGGTTTTAATATTGTTTTTTTTATGCTATCTGCCATAATAGTTTTTTTCAAGTAATCTGTGTTTAAATTAAAGCTAGATTTCTTCTGTTTTTTTTTTTTCAATAAAATTGGCATGTTGCTTAACAGTCTTTTTTCCTTAAACTATCAGACAATTTCTGCAAGGAGTATATCTTATCTTTTGTTGAGCCAGTTATTTTTTCATTTGTAAAGCACCATGCATAAAACACATTCCCCATACTTTTCAGGAGCATACATAAACATTTGTTTTATATAAGAAAAGACATGATGCATGAGGTGCATCTTTAAAAAACAAATTATAAAATATAGTTCAACGATATATCAATATGAAATTAAATTTTATTGCAAACACTTTTCTCATGCTCTTACTGCCTTGATATCAGATATGCTATCACATCATTACTTTGTTGCCATATGCAGTTTTTAATATCTTTCTTTTATATCCAAATCACCATATTTGTTTTTTTAGATAATACACTTCTATGAAATGTCAAAAAGGAAAACCTCTCAATACTTCTTACAGACGAGCAATGAAAATTACAATCACCAATGCATCTTCATAAATATTTTCCACAAATAGTTACAGGTTTTCAAGCAACTTTCCATGTATATGCAACTTTTTAAAAATTCACTTAATAAATCCTTTTCACAGAAAAGTGTACATCTTGTACTATGAGCGTAATATAATTTAGGGAAAAGAAAAAAAAATTATCCTCCTGAGTTTATATTGGAGCATGCTTGATACTGATTAGTAAAATTATCCTGTGATATATTTTTGGTGTGGGTTATTACATATACATAATTTCAGTACAAAATATCTGACAAGATATGTAATCTCCAGAACACACAGATTTTAGTGACTCCAAAACAGATAACACTTTATCCTTCTTCAAAGACTGTGATTCACACATGCATGTAATCAGCCAAGTTGTCTTCATTAACAAAGTCTAAAATTGTAAAACAAGCATTCTCTAAAACACTGTATGGGAGTGAATCCTGAGCATAAAAAGACATGAAGTAAATAGTAACAAACTAAAACAACAAAAAATACATCACAACCTCACAGAAAGACTCACAGAAAATTTATCATATAACAGCACATAAACAAAAATAAAATATACACAATCCTAACAAACACTTTTTTAGTCATAACAAAATTTCCTCTGCTATGAAACAAACTGGTATCAAGCAACTGCATTTTAAAGATAATCCTTTAAAACACGAGAGCTGCAACACATGCAGAATTCTTCAGATTTGTGCTTATATCTTACATGCTGCACATGACCTGGTTTTAACTTATGTATATGAATTCTTTAATTAATACAAGGGTAAAACAACTGAGAAGAGGACAAAAACTAGAAAGGATATCCAATGGCCTTACATTCACATTCTCTATGTCCAACCTAAACTTGACAGCAGTAGTGAGTCGACGTTCATTATTTGTGGCATTAATAACAAAAGGGATAACATCACTTCCATTCTTCCATCATGTCTACTTTGTAGTACACAGGATTACATATCAAAAAGTTTGAGACAAATTTTTGGATAACATACCATGAAAATCAGATTCATCAACTGTACCATACCATTAGAAGCTAATGATGTTACACACTGCGACCAAATAAATTCTATATCCACAAGCATTAATCGATTTATAGGTGAACACACGATGAAAGCTATCTATCTCATACTGATACATCAATTTTGAATACAGGATTATCTGGAATTAAACTGTTATTTGTGGTATGCACCACCATACTTAATTTTACTACTCCTACAAATTTCCACATAGAAATATCAAATAAAATCTTTTGGTTAACTGATTTTTTTCAATGTTCTTTTTCTTTCCTTACTCATGCAGAGTCCAGATTATACCTCATTATGCCTAGATGGCAACATAAACAGATTATCATTCAGCTTTACATTGTTACTTGTTGCATTCTAATGTGTCTTAAATTGTATACCAGCACTAAATAGTTATTAAACTAAACTACACTTGTCTTTAAAATGGTAAAAGAATAGCTTATTCATCTTCCTCCCTCATACTTAAAACATGCTTTGCTTCCACATGGCTAAAACCGCAATTTTCCAATTATCCAAGCTGACTGCTCATAAAAATATGAAAATCGGCCAGAATTCCATGGAGATAGAAATAAAATTATAATTTGGAAGCTTAAATTAAAATAAAAAGTGTCATTCCAATTGAATGCATTAAACGAAAATGCTTCTCCAGTTTCCCTCTTGGACCGATAAATAGAACCAATTCAGTTGCACAAATACTCACCAGCTCATAGCAACTTGAACAAAATCAGCCTTATATATTAAGCCTTTGCACCACAAATTAATTATGTGCATGATATATGCTATTTTATAATAATCTATATATCAGTTATTCAGATTCAAAATCGGATAAGAAAGAGGTCTGTTTGTGAACTGTAGAGCTTATTTTTCATAACTGTGACATCCCCAAAAAATGCATACATAAAGAAAGAATAAACATTCCACAAGTTACTTGTCCATGAATGCAAAGGGAGAGCTTGGATTTTTTTTTTCATGGAAATCCATAAAAAGAATCAACTATTAGAAACAGATTTTCTTTCACATCATTATCTCAATGGCTTTTTCCTAATGCTATATAGCACCACCAAATGTACCTTATAACCTCTTTACATATGTAGTGACAATTAGTAGAAAGTATATATAACTGGAGCTTGCTGATTCCGATTATGATGAACTTCACATCCACTTATGATGACATTCAGGGAAATTCTTTATTTCATAAGAAAGAAAGAAAGAAAGAGGCGGAGGACGAAGAAGATGAAGAAGAGGAAGAGGAAGAGGAGGAGGAGGAAGAGGAGGAGGAGGAAGAGGAAGAAGAAGCAGAAGAATGAAGAAGAGGAAGAAGAAGATGAAGAGAAGAAGAAGAAGAAGAAGAAGAAGAAGAAGAAGAAGAAGAAGAAGAAAAAGAAGAAAGGAAGGTAGAAAGAAGGAAAGAAAGCAAGAAAGAGGAAGGAAAGTAGAAAGAAGAAAGCAAGAAAAAAATCCAAAGACAACTATTAGTCATTCAATTTCCATCTCCTAAATAGTTAACAGTGTTCAGTAATGACTAGATCTCTCCTTTCCAGTCTTTCCCATGAAATTCAACAGATCTATAAAAGTTACAAGTATCTATATATATATATGAAAGCCCTTGCACAATGTTGTTGAAGTGTAGTATGAAGTTCTGACATTTTCACATAAGACTGTACAAATAACAAGTTTCTGTGCCTTGTAAAGACTCTTGGGTAAAAATCATCTCTTACAGGCAAGAACACATATTGAATTCATGTCTTTTCAGTATGTAAAGTTGTCTCCATTTCATTTTAAATGAGCCTATTACTCTTAAATATTCTCTAAAAAAACATTATCATCTGAGAATTGTTACATGATCTTCAAAGAGCTGCCTGTCAAAAGACAGCATATTCTGGAATTCTGGAATGGAACATCACAT